GTCGTCGATGTCGGCGGAGAGACAGCAAGTTTCGAAGGAAACCCAACGAGGGTGCAGGTGGCTCGTATGTCAAGAAGATGAAGTCTCTCGTCTTGGAACAATGGGCTATGACGTGCGCGCCAGGAAGCGTACATGTCTTACTTCCGGTGACTCGCCGTCTAATTGATTCTCAACCCTCTCGTTCGATTAACGTCGTCTATCGAGTCTCGAGCCGGCGCGGCGTTCTGAAGCTGTCGCGACGACGACGTCGACGTGTTGCTTCGTTTTGTCGATAAAACGATTTCGGGTAAAGGATCGTAAAAACCATAGGTAGTCGAAGGCAAATTTTTAACAGGGACACACGCACACATAACACGTTTGGGTCTTTTTCACGGCCATTTTAAGATGACGTTCCTTTGAACTTAGACCGCCGTGAAATATTCGTCTTCCGTGTAATATTCAACGGCGCGTCGTAAATTTCCCGCGTGCCGACGCAAAAATTGCCTGACACAAGCGTCCTTGCGCGCACCAACTCCTCTCGCGTAGCTCATTCTAAAAGCGACCCTGTGTCGTGCGGGACCTACTTCGAGAATACCGATCCGAAAGGTCGCCGTCTCGTTATTGCGAGAATTAATCTTTCACGGTTACGCCATTACAGTTTCACTTTTAAATATACGCACTGCAATCACACCTATACCACTCGAGGGAGAAACATGATTCATGGCTAACAAGCTGTTATTGAGCAAAACCAATCATTTCTAGTACAGGTAATTCCCGTGTAACAAAGTCGTTAATGTTTCTAGAAGACGCTGTTGTACTCATAGAACAAAGAACGTGTGCAAAATGTAGAATTAAATTTCAAAAATTACCAAAGTCGTACTATTATTTTCTTAAAAGATTGAATAATTTTTAAAAATCACAAATTGGATGAAAGAAAATATGAAAGAATAGGGGGAGAAGTATGCAATTATTAGAGATTCGATCGATAAGGAGACAAGGGTAGAGAGTGGAGCGATCGAAAGAGCAACTCTGTAGCGATCACGGTCGGTCGAAGCGAGAGGGGTGGTTTACCGTGGCGGGGGGTTTGTTTTGGTGCGTGACTATCGAAAAGGGGTGCATGGCCCGCTCCCGCAGTCCGTGCCAGGCACGCAGCTGCACGCACCTATGTGTACCTACACGCGGGCAACACAAACACGCGAGAATGCAAAATACGCTGCGTGCACGCAGGCCCGCCTCCGATGGCTGTACGAAAGATAGAGTACCGATAGCAGCGGCGATTCGCCATGGCCAAGCCGTGATTTAGGGGTCGCTATGGCGCCACGATTCAGAAACAAGGGTTCGTTGAACCCGTTCGCTTGTGCAACCCTCGGCCGCGATCGTTACTCTAAAAGCTCCTCTGTCAGCGTGATTACGAAAATGTTAAACTGGCCCGTTCGAGAAGGGCAAAAGGGGAAAGAGTAATCAGGGATGAAGAGGAACGAGATATAGAGGGTGTAGAGAAAATCGTGATAAATGTTGAAAAGGGGGTGATTCCTCGTGCAAAAATGAGCCGAAAATGTAAACTAACAATTTTTCATCCGAACCTTGGTTTTTACAATAATTGATTTCCGTCCTGCAATCCTCTATGCGGAGGTGTCGTACTGTCTCTCAGATCCTTGCGCCCTATACTTAAAAATTAGCATTTAGATTCACGTTTCTTCTAAATTTTGGCAAACAAGCTTCTCTTGTCATACAACGGGTGTTCCAATTGAAATCGGTCAGCTCGAAATGTTTCTAGGATAAAAGACGATGGATGCGCCGCGACATGCGTGCAACGGACTGAGCGCACGCTGGGTCGCCGTCAAGTGGCAGATTGTAAACATCCGGTAGCCGATGCAAATCCGCTTGCAGCCATGTAACGACGACTATTTACCGAGTGTGTACATACATCGCGATTGCGTGCCGCGTTCTACGTATTCTCACGTCCCGTTGATCCTCCGATTCATACAGAATACGAGGCGCGGTGCATTTTCCTAGAGAAAGGCAACGGCTGGATGAGCGGATATCTCGCGTGCAATCCCGACGACGGCTTCTTTTGTAGCGGGTTATTTTAAGAGCGCAGAATTTTACACGCTCACGTGGGTTGCGGCTAGCGACGTCTGGATCGCGGTGAATAAAGGAAGCCAGATAGGGGAAGCTTCGTCTAGGAGGTTGTTACGTCGTTGCATCAGCTCGTTCGTCGGACATTCCTCGGTCTCGGAATCAATTCTTTTTTCTCTTTTCTCTATTAGAATATTCTCGATCGCGAGCGTTGCTCAAAGGCAGAATCTTTGTGGAAATGAACGGCTAGCCGGCGGTATCGCTCGAGTAACCACGAAATGAATGATGGCGCCGTAAACTCGCTGAGAAATTGTATGATTCTACGAAGTCCAGTCGAAAATAGTCGAAGACGATAATATTGTATAGGCACGCTTCCCTGCTTGCTTTCCGTTTCCCATCGCTTCTTCGCCCTCCTTGATCGAACCTTCTTTCAACCCTACGTTTCATATTCAAAGGGTTAATTAAATTCAATTTTTAAAAATATTGTTACTAAGGTTTCGTAATTCGTAAGCATTAATCGATTGAAATTGCTTTTCAAACGAAGAATAAGCCTGATATCGATCGTCAAAATGGCAGTCGGTATAAAACAGACTTCTCGCCATCTTCGCGAGTGCTCGTAACTCGAATCAACTCCTTTAAGTTTCTAATAATCTTCAGCTTTCTTTATGAAAATAATATGTTTATGGACAAATTTGTAAAATTTTCTAATCAATTTCCTCTTCAACTTTGAAAAAATATCTCTCATGATAGTAACCATCTAAACTGTACGAAATAATTCACTTATCGGTGCAAATGGATTAAGAAACAAAAGAACAAATATTTAATTGAAAAAAGAAATTCATAATGTTCAAAAATTCTGCCTTGTTCCACGTTTGTACGGTCTGCGTATCAATGGCGGCTCTGACGTAGCCGTTTGCCCGGTCCGATCGTTTGTTCCGTTCGCGGCTGAGCCACGCGTTCGAGACCGTGTTTCTCCTCTCTCGAAATCGAAGGAGACATTGCGTAAAATGATTATTTCTCGAGAACGAGCGGAGAAGTGGATCGAACAGCCGGGAAACGGAGGATCCGTTGCGGGCGGTCGCTTCTCGACGGTCGGAGCCGACCCTTAATCGATCGCGTTCGCGGAGACGCTTTCAGCTCATAATGAGAAACTCGGCGTCGTGGATGCGGCATTGATTTTCAACCGGGAACTAACTTCCAACGGTAGAAGCAACAAGTAATTACTTTAAAGAAATTGAATTACACGAACTATATAGCGGCGCGCTCGCTTAAGTACACTAGCGCGCGCGCGTTCTCTCTCTCTCTCTCTCTCTCTCTCTCTGCCTCTGTAATCGAATCACCGAACATTTTCGGTGTAATCGGGATTGTTTGTGCCACGACCACGCTTCTCGTGGGAATTCTTCGTTCTCTTCGTCGCGTTCGTTGTTCTTGCTCTCGTTTAACGGTAATTTTTCCAGATTGAAACCGCGATCGTTGAACAGAATGCGATAGAGTAGATTTATAGATTACGAACTGATTAAGTTTTCAGACACGAATGATAAATGATTTCTCGTTAAATAATTTATTTCTCATGAAAACATTTCCTATATGTAAAATGAAATTCGCACGCCCTGTACATACATCGTCTCCGTTCAACCTAGAGGATCTTTCCGGTGTTCTTCCCCTTGGCGCACAGCAGGGTTAAACGTGGTTTTCGGCGTCTCGAAAGACGATCTCGTGCGTAATGTTCTTCCACGAATGCACACGGAGCCCTTACCCCGATCTTCTACCCTTTGAACTTTTAAGAGACCACTCGACACTCGGAAAGATGCCTCTAACCCGTTCAATGAGGCCAATACCACGAGGGTGCGGCCCTTAACAAGGTTATGGAACTCTCTCGGTCTCTCTGTCTCTTTCCCCTTTCTACCCCCTTTGCCTCTCGTTTCACCACCATCAGCCTGTCGCCGATTCCTCTCCGTACGCGCGTGTATACCGGCACTCGCTTCGGTACTCGCGCGCGACAGAATCTCTTTCCAACGTCTCGCCAGGGGGTGGTTGATTTGGGCGCGAAATTGCCCGACAAAATCAAATTTCATTTCGCCGAGGGCGTGTCTGGACAATCGAGCAGCCAAGTGGCCAGCGGCCAATCTGACTATCTCGTCAACCAATTTTGCCGGTGATTACTTTACTCTCGTCGCTGATGCTCGGTCGGGTACCGGCCGAGAGCGGTGCGCGCATTACGCCTCTTTCTCGCGCTCTTAACTTTCCTCGTAATTTAAGGCTCGTTCCACGAAAACCTTACGACTGCATTTTCTCGCCGTCTCGTCGTTCTGTAACGCAATAATCACGGCTTACGGTAGAGTCCACCGAGAGTTCCTGGGACAAGGGTAACTCCGTTTCTCTCCGCCGAGCTACCTGTCATCGGCACGCTTGTAATTTAAATTCTCTTTCGCGAAACGTGCTTTTTTTTCCTCTTCTACCCAGAGCACATGGGGTCGGATTTTAATTACGCTGCTAAGAGTTTCTTTTAATATCGGATCATTTTGTTCTCGGTCGAAAATAAACGAGCCAAAGGTGAACGCGTTGTCTGACAGTATCCAAGCAAAGGGAATTTGATAAATCTCTTGAATCGTTAACGAGCTATTCGCAATTAAAACGACTTCACGTTTCTTCCTGGATGAATCTTCTTTCGTCGTACCAGTAGTAAATATGCAAAATTTACCTCTTCGCGCGTGTTGGACGCGCATGTGCGAATGCGCCTCGGGGTAGCTTCCCACGCGATAGCCGCACAAACGAAAGCTCTGCTTATCGTGCAAGGAATTTAAGGATCTGTTAAAAATCCTAGGAATCATGGAACGTGTGCGTGCATGTCGGATCTGCCTGTACAGTTGCAGCTTGAGATCTGCGAGGATGAGCTGAGAATTTCAGAAGAAAGAATGAAGGAAAGTGAACGCACATAGTAGGATATTTTCAATTCATTTTTTATTAACAAGGATAACTACAGAATATTTTATTTCAATCATCAGAGAGAGAATTTTGTTGAGAGAACCTCGAGCAAGCGTGTATGGAAACATTTTAGCGTGCGTGTTAGGAAGATCGGGTCCAAGTTTTATAAGGGTTCCTGGAAGGGCGGCGACCTCCCTTTTGGGCTGCTTTCATCTAGACCGCGTCCTTCTCTCTGCTTCTTTCTCTGTCTTTCTACATGTTACCCTTCTTTTTCTCCTTCCTGGTCGCTCATCGTGTTTCTGCTCTCACTTTTCGAACAAAATCCAACGTACTTTGCTCCTGTTACTTAAAATTGAAGAGAAATTTTATTTTCCGTTTATAGTGCTCGCAACTGGTGGTCCCGACGGTATTTAACGAGTTAACAGGAGAATACCGCAGAATACCAATCGATATCCTAATTGTTCGAACGATCGGATCGACGAGTAAAAACGATGAACGGGATTGAAAATGATCGTGAACATAGGTCGAAAGCGTGGCGTAAAAGTCGATCGACTGGCAGTGAGAGTCTCTTGGACGCGGTTGTCAGCTCGTGCCTTAACGAGATTAATTAACACAGCGAACCGTCGCGGCGCGACGTGTGCGGAGCGTCCATCCGACTCGAAACCGGTACAGAAGCGCGAATCCCGCCTTCGCCTCGCACGAAATAATCGAGTTTCACAACGCTCTATGGGAGAGTACTCTATGGCTTTCCGGCCTCTCGGGTCCGCGTTTCATTTGCTCGTGTCAGTCTCAAATTTCCACGTTCGACGCGTACCTGCCCCCGATATACATGTACCCCATCTCCTCCGTTCCGTCTATGCCCGCTTTTGCCTATCGGCTCGATTTTTCGCCTACCTGTGCAGCCTTTTCGTGGACGCTCCTGAAAGGCTGCAACTTCTTTAAATACGCTCTATAAAATAATCTACAGTTATCTGGTTCGAATGGCTTTATTATACAAATCCACCACCTGCGTTTTATAGAGAAGTTGATATTTCCAGCCGGTAAAAAATTAGAAATCATTAAAGTTTTGGTAACTGTTATAGAATATGCTTTGTACATTGTTGCGAATCGTTTTGAACCGTTGTTCCCCTTTAATTAGAGCAGCGAGTTTTCATAGTTGCTAATTGCCTCTGTTACCTTCGATCACACCTTGTTCAAACGCAGTTACACAGCTCGTCAATCAAATAAATTACAGTATACTCGGATATACACGATCTATTGTTGGAATAATCATGAACGTTTTGTGGTTGAAACGTGCCTGCCAGCGATGGACGATATCAAACGGCGCGCGGTTCTCCCGTTAGCTGCGAGGCATATCGAAATTTAGACCAACGTTTCCCCGAAAATTTTGCTACCTTTTGTAAGTGAAACTCGTTGTTGACACACAAAAAGCTACGCGTATTTGCGTCATCGCTGATCTCGCTCGATAGCTCGTCACGGATGCTACCTTTTATCTTTCCAAGCTTTATCACGAATCCGTATATTATCGTCATCCAATCTTTATTCGATATTTTATTACCTTTTGAATTTAAATGAAATCGTACAACGAATCGTGCAACTTAATCACTTTTCCTAATAATTGTTTCCTTTGATTTCCAGGTAAGTCCAGTCAGAGATTGCTTTCATGACGCTGCATGCGAGGCCGTTTCCGGTAAGTTCTCTTACCGATCGCTTCATTTGCAAATGCTTTAAATAGACAAAAAGAAAAAGGATAAAAAGAGTCACGTAACGTGCAGCGGTGGTATGCGCGTTCCGAACGGTGACGCAAACCGTGACACAAGCGCTCCTTCTCTCGGTACCGTTGAATCGTGTGTGGGTGCCGTTTCACGATTTCCACGCCGTTCCTTCGCAAGTCGCGTTGCCTATATAGATCGGTGTCTGGGATCGTCCTGTGGCTGGACGATGTCGTCGCCGGACAAGGAAACGACGCGATACACGGATCTCGTTCTCGGAGAAGCCTACGACGCAGTTGCTCCGGCGGTAGGTACGCGCAACTGCGTCGTTCGAATAAGGATCGTAGAAAGAGGGGAGGGAGAGCACGTACGTAAGTGTGACAAAGAGGGGGCGAAAGAGTAAGAAAGATGTCGAGAGAAAGATAGAGTAAGAGAAGGCTATGTAGAATGAGAGTGTGAGAGAGGAGTCACGTGGTGCCACATTCGCTTCGCGTACCTCCTTAGTGTGGTCCCGCTTGCGCGCGCGTGTGCTCGCTTACCTTAGTACTGTACAGTGGCCCGCATTAACCCATTAAGGACTAGCCAGTGAAATAACGCCATTTTTACACTAACATTCTTCGTTCTTTACGAAATTGCATAGAAAATAGTAGGAAATTAAATGTACAACATTTTTTGAGCAACACTAGGTACACTCTGTTAATTCTCAAATTATTGAAAACGCGAAATAATTGTTCATATGGAAGATATTTTCGTATCAATATTTTGTACACTTTGTTAATGAATATAATTGTCAAATGGATATATCGATTAATAATTATTGAAATATATATATATCGATGTCCGAATATTAATGCGGGCCACTGTACGTACACGTACGTATTAACCGTGCGTGAATGTGTGTTGGCGTTGGAGGGGGCGGTCGAGCCCGCGGGGAGGGGTGGTATGCGGGAAACGTTTTCCTCGGTTCCCACGGCGCGACGCCTCCCTCCTGTCCCCTCGTCCCTCGCCCTTCTGTTGCCCTCTGTCAGGCATACAGGCGCGCGCGAGCGGCCTCGTACACCTAATATCCCGAGACGTACAGACACACATACAGGAGCGGAACCGGTGATTGTACGCGCTCGTGCACGTATATTTACCCCTCCATCCAAAAACTCCAGCCCAAAAGAAGGGGGAGAGGGGATGGGAATACGAGGGTGGGGGACCGAGGAGGGCAGTGACGCCACTGGACCGCCCGAGATGCTGTGCGAGCCTCGACACAGCGCGATCTCTGGCCGCCCGTAACCCATGGAAAGACGAGAGAGAACTTACTGCTCCGTTTCGCGATCGTCCCAATTTACTATGCTCCAGTGGGTATACGTAACTACCAGTATTTCGCCTGTTTAGTCAGAAATATGTTAATATCAAAATTAGGTATTGAATAGTCTTTTTCACTGCACGATGGATAGTCGTTAGACTGGAAAAACGATCGGACAAAAACGTCTCACGCGCCTTTCTGTAGATATATTTTGACGGATTTAAACGCGGGGCTTCCAAGATATCTGGGGTCGATAATAGAAGCGACGCCCTCTTGAAATTCTTGAATAGATTGCGCCACACCTGCTAACCGACTTCTTCATGGTCCGTCGTCGTCCGTAACGGGGCGTGCGAGTTGCTTCTATCTCGCTTTTCGGACAAAGCGGAAACGTTGATACGTGTTTTTGCCCGGGAGTATCGTGTCTTCTTCATTTTTCGCCGTCGCATCGGTCTCTGATTCCCGTGGAATGCTTAGTTGCACGGGACCTTGCAAGATAAGGAGATTTTGTAGGAAGAAGCGAGGCTAGCCGCGTATCGTTTCTCGCGCGGCGCGTCGCCGCGGCTCGAAATTCAAACGAATCAGCCGATTTGCATTCTCACGGCAAATTATGCGCCGCTCGAGCACCGGTTCTTCCAGATACGTCGTTGACCCTTCGCCGTGTGTCCTGTCAACGCGATCGCGAGCGTGCGAGTCTGGTCGTAGTCCGGTGAGTAGCCACGTGGTTCGAATACCGGGGCTGCAGTCTCCGCGATCGGTTGGACGGGGTCGGTATTCGAGATTCGTACTCGAGCGCGTACACTGTGCCCGCGATGATTCCGAAGCCAGGTATTTCCCTCCCTGTTCGTTCGTTCCTCCTCCTCTACATCGGCCCTTGGCCTCCTCGCTCCCTCCTGAAACCACTGCCATCGCATTGACGACATTCTCTCACGTGCCGGTCACTCGTGTCACGTCCGTCGTTCCTGGTAACCAGAGAGGAAGATCAGGGAAGAAGGCGGGAAAATTCCACGATGCGCCGTCCTTTCGATGTACGTTGGACAATTGAACGTGCCCCCGATCGTTCCGTGTTACCGATACGATTTATCCTGTGACAAGGGTATATCTGAAATTTTGGAAATATCTAACGAGAGAAAGGAAACGCGCTTGTAATGCCCGGTATTTCATTGAAGATTCGTAATTCGGTTTGATCGTTTGAATCGCTGGGTACGGTGATCCCTATAAAGTTCCCTCTAAAGCAGCACCTTTCCGGGCGTTCCGCGCGGGACGTGAAAGTCCAGGATGGAATTTCGAGGAACCTCGTAAGGATAAAAAGAGAAGTGCGGTAGGTGGTGGGACGGTGGTTGTCGTTTGGTTCCTGGTGTTCTTGCTGCATAGTCGGGTGCTCCTTCGAGTACCTCTACCTACTCGCTCCCTCGTACCAAAAGGGCAGCACACCTTGGCTGGCCATTGGCTCTCCTCCGTCCTCGTCCCTCTCTTTGAAGAGTCTCGCGTAGCCCTCTCTGTCTTCCTCATCGTCGAGGTTCTCCGGTGTTCCACATAAATACACAAATACCCTGGCATAGCCGACTGGCGCGTATATACCGGGACCACGGCCGCATTCCACGACCCCCCGCCCTTTCCCTCTCACCTCTGCCTCTGTCCTCCCTCTTTTTCTCCCCCTCTACGGCTCTACCCCTGTGTACCGTCACCACTTCCACCACCGGCCGCAGCAGCATCGCTAGCACCACCATCGCCGTCACTATCGCGCCGCCAGGGCCCATCTTCGGGGCCCTTTACCTCTCTCCAGGCCCCGACAGTTTCTCCCACCTTTCCACCGGCACCGGCTCCTCCTCTCCCGCCTCACACCCTCTTCGCTACCTTCTCGCCCTTCGCACTCGCTCGCTTGCTCACCAACTCGCGCGCGGCGCCACCGAATACCTTCGTACTTTCTTCTCTTTTCAACCGACTCCTCGCCCTTGCCAGGGCCCTAACCCTCTCTCTCTATACACCTTCATTCTTCTTCGTCTTCTTCTTACGCTTGTTTCGCCCCACCCTTGTTTCTTCTTCTTCTTCTTCGTCGTCATCGTCGTCGCCGTCATAGTCGTTGCTCTTTCCCTCTTCCGCTTTTCTCTCCTCGTTTCTTCCTCTCGCGCCTGGAGACACACATGCACGCGCCCGAGAAGCTGCCACGAACCTGTGTATACACACCGACCTGCAGGAATATTTTGTTTACCTCGCTCCCAGTTCTTTGAATTCTGCGCCGGCAGCCAGCGGCTCCGCGTTCTTCTTTCTCCTTCTTCCTCTCCTGTATATCTCGCAGCCCTCTACGGAGGGATCAAGGACTCATCCCCGGGATAAGGACACACCACTCCTCTTCGCGTTGTTCTCAATCGGTCGCCTGCTTCGATCGCGAGCCACTCGTTCTCCTCGCTACCACCACCACCACCACCACCACCGCCACCACCTGTTTCCTTCGCCCCACGCTCCCTCTTTCTACCGCTTTTCTTTTTCGATTCCACGCGTGCCTCGCGGCGTTTCGTACTTTCCGCGAGCGAGCCCCGCGCCGATTAAGATACGTTTCCGGCGCCCGTAGAAATTGAAACGGAATTAGTTACGATCCGGCTTGGTTAACCGACGTTCTCGAGTGTACACCTCGAGCAACGGTGAATTCCGTTCGTATGCAGGAATGCAGAGGCTGTGTTTATTCGATGCAGCGGTTCCCATACGGAACGATTTGAAAAATTACTTCAACATCCCTTCCACGAAATGACAATTAAATACAACCGTCCACTTGCATGAATATTAAGTGCTTCTTGCTTATCTATTCATAGAAGAATATAAAGAAGAAAACGATGCATTCCTCGCGTGTTCTTATAGAATCGTTCACGCCAGTGAAACGAACGATCCACGTAATCAGCGCCCACCTTCGGTACGATTAACGGCAAAGGCATCCGCTTCTTTATCGCCGTTCCTTCGACACTTTTTATCTTCGTTCTCACGCTCAGATTTTTGGAGGGAAAAAAAAAAACACGCGTTCGACCCTCGCGCGTCGTTGACTGTACCCCGGTGTGCGTTTACGCGCCTGTGTTGGTACGAGCGAAGGGGGCGATCAGCGTGGAACGAACTGCACGCACACACTCGTAGCGTGGACCGCTGGCAAACGGAGTTCGTTTTCGTAAAAGCATGCACTTATTCCCAGCATCCCGAGGTTCTCTGGCCGCAGCAGCAACAACAGAGGAAGAGAAAGAGAAGGAGCGAGGGGATACACAGCGGAGAGAGGCTCCCGAATGAGATATATAGCACTGAGCAACAAATGAGGTCCTTCCGAGAATCGGGCCACCGACACAGTGCCTGAAACGCACGAGGGGGTGAGAACCACCCCGGTCGGTTTTCTCCTACGCGATAGCTACGAACGATCCTCGCTTCTTTTTCCTCCACCGATCTTTTCATTATTTTTTTCATCCACTTCCTTCTTCGAACCCGTTGAAATCGCATTTCGTTTTTATCTTCTTTGTTTGCCCTTGTTCGATCAACTTTCGCCAACTTTTCCTTGCTTTTTATCGACGAGAAGAAGGAAGGGAAAAAAAGAGAATGGTTGAAAAGCGACACCTGTTGCTGCGACTACTAATTTCTAAAGAGAGAATCAGACAGTTGTTCGGTTCTCGAAGAAGGTTCGTCGACATCGCTAGGGAAACCTGCGTCATCCAAGGGACTCGCATCCCTGCGAACGGGATGGTTGAGCCGCGGAGCGAAGGAAGAATAAAGAGGCGGTGAACCGCCTGGCGCCATAGCGAGCACGCACACCCCCGACCCTCTTCTCTTCCCTCCTCTACTCTACTCTTCTCTCGGGCCCTGGTCCACGAGTCACGTGACCGTCTGCATTCTGTGTTTTCTGTGAATGACTGAGCCCGCGGGCCAATCGGAGGACGGCCGATAGAGGCAAGCCTTAGGGCGCGCTGGCGCGACCAAGAGGAACGAGAGGAGGATAGGGATAGAAAACGTGGGGGCGCGCGCGGTTTCTTGGCCTTTGCGGGCCCAAACCTGGCTTGGAATTCCTTCCGAGGATACCTCGAAACATTCGACTTTGCTCTTTGTCCATCGTCTGTTTCTCTCCTGGCTGCTCCTTACGGTAGATCGAATCTCTGACCGGGTCCTATCGGGCTGAGAATTCTTCATTCGCCATCACTTCGCACCCCCTCAAACTGAATTCTGAATTAATTCATTCACCCCCTTCGTTCTGTTCGAAGTTGAG